ATGGGGACAATGGATCTCCTTGCCTAATACTCCTCTTTGCAGGAAAGAAACCCCTAGCTACACCATTCACCAATATTGAGAAATGCATCCCTTTACCCAACTGCACCATCTCTCCCCAAACCCTCTCCGCTTGAGAACCTCTAGTAAAAAATCCCAATCCACCATGTCATATGCCTTTTTAATATCCAATTTGCAAACTAACCCCTTTTCCTTTCTCCTCCTCTTCACCTCAATACATTCATTGGCAATAAGTATTTGATCTACAATTTGTCTTCCTTCTACAAAGGCCCCTTGATACGGTGAGATTAGAGACGGGAGGATCTTTTTTAATCTTAGCGCTAGGACCTTAGATATGATCTTATACATGCTTCCCACCAGGCTTATAGGTCTGAAATCCTTTGGTTGGAGAGTGTCCTTCTTCTTAGGAACCAAGGCAATAAAAATTGCATTTGCTCCTGAGTTAAATTTGCCTCTCTCATAGAACTCTTCAAAAACCTTCAACAAATCCTCTCTAATTATCTCCCAACAATCTTGATAGAAGGCCATCAAAAAACCATCAGACCCAGGAGCTTTAGCTCAATCCATGGAGAAGATTGCATTTCTCACTTCTTGGGCCTCAAATCTTCTTTCCAAAGATTCCAATAAGACACTATCTTCCACCCTCCACTCCAAGTCCTCTAAGCTCTCACTAGGTCTCCCTGGGTTGTCATACACTAATTTGAAGTGATTAACCAAAGCTTGAGCTATATCATCTTCCCCTCGTCAGCAATTGCCCATCCCACTCCAATTTTGAAACAGAATTCTTCCTTTTCTTCCCATTTGCCAACGAATGAAAAAACCTTGTATTGATGTCCCCTTCCTTTAGCCATTTGCACCTGGATATTTGCCTCCAGCTTATCTCCTCCTTCCTAAGAAGATCTTTCAGTTCCTATTTCAAATTCCATCTTTCCACCCTACCCTCTTCCCCCAGCCTTCTTTCAGCTTCTAGTCCATCTTGCTCCTGCACTCTCTGATTGATTTCCACTTTTCTTTGCTCTAATCTACCAAAAACCTCTTTATTCCAAATCTTGGGTCTAGCTTTCAAGAGTTGTAGTTTTTTGTAAAACCTATACCCCTTCCATCGGAATTCCACTTGGTCCACTTCCCACCATTCTTTTACCTTAGCTAGAAACTCTGGATGAAGTAACCACATGTTTTCAAACCTAAAAGGGCACAGGCCTCCATTTAGTCTTTCTTGAGACAACCTGATTGGGCAATGATTTGAAATAGGTCTCGGCAATGTTGTAACACCTATCCCCCATTCAGCTTCCCAATCCACTGTAAAAAGGAACCTATCCAATCGACAACAAGTAGGGTTTTCATGGAAGTTTGACCAGGTAAAATTTGCTTGCTGAAGAGGGAGGTCCTGCAATGCAAAATTCTCCACAAAGAGATTAAACTTCCTCATGCTAGATTCAATCCTACGACTGGGGTTATTGGACTCGTTTAAGAATCTTATTATGTTGAAATCCCCACCCAAACACCAAGGGCCATCCCACAAACCCCTAACAGCCACTAGTTCTTCCCAGAAACCTTGCCTTTCCCTATAAGAGGTGGGACCATAGACATTAGTTAGCACCCCAAGCCCACCCATCTTCCTTTTTCTTCAATTTTATTGACACCGAGAAGTTCCCAATTAATTGTTCTTCACACTCCCAATCTTCATTTCTCCATAAAGTAATAATTCCCCCTAAAGCTCCCCACAATTGTGCAAAGGCCCAAGTCAAACTTCTTGTTGACCAAATGCTCTTCACCCATTTCTTGTCCACCTCAGACAATTTTGATTCTTGTATTAAGACCACATCTGGCTTTTCTCTTCTCAAGAAGTCTTCGATCACTCGCCTTTTCTTTGAACTTCCCCAAACCTCTTAAATTCCAGCCTATTAACTTCATGGACAAACATTTCAGGTAGCCCCAACCATACCACCCTCTTTACTCCTTTTTTCTATCCTTCCTACCCCCACTTGCTTTATCATAACACACCCCACTCTTCAACCTCTCCACCTCACTCAGCTTTTTCTTCCTCTTCTTAGAAAGCTCTCCTACCTTCTTACTAGACTCTTCCACCTTCTCATTTCATTCTAGTTTCTTACCTGACCCCTTCTTCTTTTTCTGTTGTCCTTTTGATTTTCCACTGTATCCACTTTTCTCCACTGTATTGGGAAATTGAATAATCTCCTCCTCAACCCTACCCTCTTTCACATTCAGCTCCTCTTCCATTCTGATTCTAAATAATTCCCAGATCAACTCCCAAATTTTGTCCCCTAGTTCTCTCTCTTCTGCTTCTGAATTTATCTCCCCCACTACCTCTGTCACTTGTCCCGAATCACATTCAGCTCCTCTCTCTTTTGTTCATCAATACCCCCAAAGCGTGCCAATTGTCCAGCCATAGTCTTGTCCCACATCCTAATCGCCACAGAGATAGGGCTGCAATGGTTGTAAGTCAACTTTGATGCTACCAAAGGAACACCCAAGTATCTGACCAGGAGCTCTCTCCTTCAGTAAATTTAATTATAGATTTTAAGTTAGCCCCCTCCTGTTCATCCAAAGAAGATAACAACTTAGAATTATCAACTTCCAAGCCTGACATGACTGAGAAAGTTGATAACACAGTTGCTACAGCCCGCAAATAAGCTTCCCCCTTCATAAACAACATTAGGTCGTCTGCAAAAGCAAGATGGGACAAACCAACAGCCCTGCATTTAGGAATGAGATGTCATCTGCCCTCCCTAATGGTATCATCAATCAATCCAACATTGGAAATCCCATTTTCCATAGAACCCTAACAACAAACTCCAATCTTATAGAATCATTATCTTTGTTTAGGTCAATCTTCAACACTGCAGTTGAACTGTGATTTTGTCCATCAAAGCCTCTCACCACATCACAACATAGTAAAATATTATCCAAGATAGATTTGTCCCCAATGAAAGCTGACTGGTTTTTGCACCACCTTCTTCAATCAATTTGCAAGAATCTAGGTAATGAATTTATAAACTACATTCCACAAAGAAATCAGCCTGAAATCTAAAAAGAAAGAAGCACCATCTTTTTTGGTATCAAACACAAAAAAGGTCGAGTTTATCTCTTTCAAAATGCATTATTGACACTGAATAAGTTGATTTAGCTAAAGGAGGTCTCCTTTTTACCTCCTCCCCTGTCCCTCTAAATGAAATTTCAATGAATCCTTACCTCAGGTCTCCCAAGATATGGTGCAATCTTTTTTCTTGTTGGCTTCACAATGTAAGCTAACTAGTGGTATCCTAAAAGGGAACCTAAGATCATGCAACTTCCATTTATCTACTAGAAGGTATCCCCTTCCCTGCTCTTCGGAATTTTTTGTAACTTCTTATGATCTTATCTTGCCTTTCAATCTCTCTCACCCTCCACGCCAAAAGATCCCTGTCTTGTTTTATTACTTATTAATTCCAAACTGAATCTAGAGGCCGAATATATTGCAAATTGCCTACAACAAAAGCATGTAATATGCATGATGATCTAAACCAACTACTTTCAAACTAACCACACAAATCATTATCAATTAAAACCAATCTTATGAAACATGATATAATAAAAAAAGTGGGTAAAAATACCTGTCCTTCAATATCTACCAATGTCACTCTTGTAAGTTCAAACCCATTCGCAGTGACACACTGAAAAATAAAAAGGTTAACAAATGGTATTTTAGTCACCATCCAACAAGAAATACTTCCCTACAGTATCTGACTTGAGAGTTAAAAACAGTCCAAACTTGAAGACTAAATTTAGTAAGAAATATTCCCAATGATCATATTAGTACCCATCAAAAGATGCATGTTGCCATCCACATTGTTGGATATAGGAATCATTATGAAAATAACGAAAATATTTTATCAATTAAGATAACATGACAAAATAAAAGTCAAAAACAGGCAGGAACATCTAATAAATGTTTGAAAAGGCAAAGCATATTTTCAAATCTGTAATCGAACAAACCGCATGCCAACTACAAACCAAACTGAATTAACTCAACTGGATCAGTTTTCAGTCAATCACCTAATAAATTGGCCATGAAAGCCTACTTGGAATGCTCTCACTCTTGTTCTAATGAAAGTTTACTTGTACTACAAAATAGGTCAATTTACCAAGTTCTTTTAAATTGAACAATCAATTTACTCATTTGAACCATAAAAAGTTGACTCAAGTTCTCATGTTTAACTCCATCTAGCCAATATACATTAACATGTGTCCAATAGAGAGGATCATTGCCAACAGATTTACATATGTGAATCAAGGATCAAAATTTCATCACGAATCGGCCCGCATCGGCCAATACATATCGTATCGGAGCCTTCCCGATATGCCCCTACAGGGAGTGTTTCGGGCCAGCAAGTGGTTCAGGGGCTAGACCAGCCTTAAACCAGCCCCTCTGAACCAGTTTCAAAAAAAATAAATAAAAAAACAGTACTGATACAGGCTGATACGCCCTACCGGTGTATCGCCCTGTATCTATATTCTGAACCATGGTGTGAATATTGATTTCATAAGATGGATCTATAGTCCTTCTATCGTTTACACAAAACACAACAAACTTCAACATGGTACACCAGTAGCATTTGCTACATTTCTGATTTTTATTTTCTTTCTATTTTACGTCTGTAACTTTCCAAGTCTTTATTGCATAGAACAACTTTGAATATAAAGAACCAAAATTGTCATCTCTTGCCTCACCATCTCACAGTCAAGTCCCAGCATCTCATATGGGGAAGATCCTATAGGAGCAGGAAGAGTTGAGACAAAACCTGCATTGAGTAAGTTGAAGAGTCAAGGACTAAGAGTTGAATGCATGCAAACTAATTAATAGTCATGATACCCAGATACCTGTACAAGGGTGCTGTACCATGTTGGATACTTCAAATTTTAGTGTACATTTTGTATCCAACACCTTGTCCAGCTATGTCCTTGCTGTATCTGGGCAATATGGATTAATAGGACTCCTTGACCAAAAACCTATGACACCCAGATACCTGTTCAAGGGTCTGTATCATGTCAGATGCTTCAATTTTTAGTGTAGATTTCATATCCAAAACCATATCCAGGTAACATAGTCAAAAACACTTTTAATATCACATACCTAAATCACCTGGTTCCTTGCAACAATATCCATTATCTTCTAGCTCTTTTGCTGTAAGTGTGTAATATGAAACTGGAAATGGTAGATCCTTCATACTTCCCAAAGAGGAAGGATTATGTGAACTAGAATTACAAATACCTGCATAGTAGCATCAATTTTAAGGCATGCAATCATGCATAAAGGAGGAGGAAAGGTCCAGAATAAACAATAAACTCATTCTAAGTGTTAAAAGAGATTCCCTCATTTTTTAGAAATTAGAAGAAAACACATAGCAATGATGTTTTTTCTGTGTAAATCCATAAGCTGCTCATATCACACTGTACATGGGTCATCAGTCATCTCCTGTGACCATTGTACAAGTGTATAGAACAATCCAATACAAAGTTCATCTTATTTATCAAACAGATATATGGAAAATTAATGATAACTCAATGAAGGCACATAATACCCATCAAGATCCCTTATCAACCAAAGTATCATAACTCATAAGAGGATGGCAAAAAGTTGCAAATTACACATCAACAAGGAGAAATGTACAGGCAATTTAGACCCCACCAAACCTAAACATATAAAGCTTAATTTTGATGGCTGCAGTTTCGGAAACCTAGGAAGATCTGATCTGGATGGTTTCTCCAGAGATAACAATGGAATGATGAAGGCATTATTTCAGGACCTGTAGGTCTCGGTGAACCATCAGTAGCATGCATTAGATATTGAAGCTAGGGAAATCATTAGATTGCAGAAATATCATGGAAGAAGGTTATTCTTGGGTAGTAGTGAGCCAGATTGCACAAAACAAACCAGGACCATGGCTATACAAACACAAATAGGGGGAGATAAAGCACTTAGTAACAGAAATAAGGGCTCAATAGTAATACCAACCCTTCACTACCAACTAATAGGATGCTGACCAAGACAAGGTCAAGTATACTATATCGGTTCCCAAACATAAGCTGGGTATTACATAACTATAACAAAGAGGAAAAAAATTGCCAGTCAAGTATATTATTTAAATATGCATGAACCATGGGAACAAATTCCCCACTAAGAACTTCAATACACAATGCACAATGAAGTAGTAACACATAAGAACTTTTTTTTAATGGGCGGTAATACATTGAACTTTGAATAAGTAAAATCTTTGAAATATGGCATGAACCTTGTTCACGTGTTTGATCACAGATCTGGGAAACTGGATTGATCTCTCCACGCTTTCTTTTCAGTTTGCATGTTAGTAGTGCATCTATTGTCTGCATTCCATCTGATACACAGCTAGCAAATAACACATAGGAACAACCATAAACATAGAATACAGGAAGAGAGAATCAGCTAGAAGGAAAAGAAATTGCTTGATCTACTATATGATGGAAGGAATAAATTATTAAAACTAATCAGTAACTGTATTGAGTGGCAACAATTTAACTGCTTAAGGATCATTACCAACCTAAGGGCTAAAACTGCCCTTGGATTGCCACAACTTTCTCTAAGACCAGTAAATAAACTGGAATAGGCCATGTACGTAGCTGCATCAAGGCCCGGGATATAAAGCAGAACCACTTTTGGTATAAGAGGCTTGTTCTGCAAATGACAGGAATACTAATTCAGTATGCAGAATAACAAATAAGCAACCACACACAAAGATGCATGGAGAAAGCATCTGACAACAAAATTAACCTCTATATTGCAAGAGCCTTGAATTTAAGTTTAACAAAGGAATTCAATCTGCAGAAAGAAAACGAGAGAGGGGGAAGAGGAAGTCTTTCAAAGTATCAAGAATAATCAAAAGGGAACGAAGCCTGTACTTTGATAAAGACCCAAGATGGCATAAATCCTTCACCAAAAACCCATGTGACAAGTCCTTGAACATCCTGTCTCACAATGGAAACTACAATTTAGAGTCCTTTTGGTTAGTAAAAGAACTGAAAAATAAAATATTCAACTGTCAATAATACCTGTAGATTTAAAGTTGAGTGAGCTTCTGGGGTTTTGAAAATAACATCTGCCTTTCCCTGCATGGACATATCAGGTCAAACATCTTCCTTTTGTCAATATTTCCACCTTTTAGATAGCAAAAAAATTATTTGAGTAGGAAAAGAAAGCATACAAGTATAAATAAGAAGGAAAGGGCAAGAAGAAAACAAAAACAAAATTCCAACAGACTCCAAATGACAACATGCACATACCACTAGAACGGATGATAAGCTTTATTGCAAGTCAGATAGAAATACAACAAGGCCCATCCCTGCACAGGGAAAAGCCATGGGAGAAACAGAAAAAGAGAAAATAGAAGCAAAATACTAAATGTTATACAGACTATTCTCTTTCAACAGCATAAAAGTGTTCAAGGAAGCAAACTCCTTAGCAGCAGAGCACCAGGAAGCAATCTTGCCCCTTATCTTGCAAAGAATTTCATCTTCCTCACAGGCCTTGCTTTTGAAGATCCTGTTGTTTCTCTCCAACCATATAACCCATATCACCACAGCTGGGATCAGACTCTACTACTAGGGCCCCCAATTCCCCAAGAGCTTAGCAGGGCTACGATAGAACCAGGAAACATCAAAACATACCAGTGGCCTACATAAAGTGCAACCAAACTCTTTGAGAAAAGCTACAACGGATGATAAGATGATTGGCAGTCTCCAGAGAGTCCCCACAGAATACACCCTTGAGATCAGGATATCCCTGGTCAGATTTCTGTCCAAAGCTAGAGAACAGATCAAGCAAGAAACTTTTGAGGGGGTGTTACTTCCAAATTAACCAATGGGGGTCCAACCTTGACCTGTTGTTGTTTTGATTTGACAGCACGGCACAGGATCTCCCTGAAAAGTACTCACTTCTGTCACACTTCCACATCCAAGAGTCTTCACAATCTTCCACAATTGAATGCTGTTTCAGCAAAGACAGAAAAGACGACCACTCTCCATCTCCCAGTCTTGGAAGTTTCTGCAGAACTAACTTCAGGAGGGGGGAGATCCTTATCAACTTTCCACCGATTCTTTGACTAGTTTGGGCAACTGAAAGGCCTCTGTTATCCAATTAGAAGTAAAGGTGAGAGAAAGCATGGGCCAGAGGCAAAGGCCCACATCAGGTATCATGCCCAGAAACTCAGTCTGGCCCCATTACCAAGCTTGAAGCCAATACCCTGCAGGAACCTCTTTTTCTCTAAGAACTCCTTTCCACAGCAAGCTGCCACTGACATTTCCCACATCTTTAGAGAGCCAGTTTCCTCTTTCTGTACCGTATTTTTTTGGTAGGCAAGTGTAAAAAGTATTTCATTCAGCCACCTTCAACAACATGTACAAAAAGAAAATGATAGAACTCCAGCTATTAAAGAAACTGTCCAACAGTGTGCCACTGAACTGAAGAGAGATAAAACCCATGCCAACCGCACCAACAGCCACTCTATTTTGCTGATAACACCTTCGATTGGCACTGCCTTATTTTCAAAAACTCAGCTATTCCTCTTCTCCTTCCAGACCCCCCAGCAGAGAGCAAAAGGAAGAAGACCGCATAAAACTTTTCCTCTAGGAGATAAACCCACTGAGGACCAAGATGCCAAAAGAGATGGAAGGTCAGGAGGACTGACCCAACTTCTGGAGAATAGCTGGAAAAAACGTGTCCACACTGAAAAGATAAAAGAACAATGAATGAGCAGATGATTCACTGCCTCTTGCTCAGACTCACATAGACAGCATAAACCTTCTACCAGCATGCCTCTGCTTTGAAGGTGATCAGAAGTTAAACAGTTAAAGTCTTGTCTCTTGCTACAGTCCACAAAAAGAAAACCACCTTGGGGGGAGAATGGGCTTTCTGCATCCAAGCCCAGGGGACAGTGGGAACTTAGAGAGATAATACCAGATTGTAACAAGACTTGGCTGAAAACAGACCTGATCTGTCCCCAGTTCAAAGTCTGTGACCTGCCTCCTCAGGACAGATGTGGAAGGCCTGTAACCTGGTCAATAGATTACTAAGGTCCTCCACCTCCCAATCGTTTAAAGTTCCTTCAAAAAGAGGGGAGCCAAACCAGCTGAGAACCTGAAATCTCATAACAATCTTCCACAACAGCATCCCTATTTGAGAAAATAGAGAATAGATTTGGATATTTTTCACTCAAGGGTCTCTCGGAACACCATATTTTGCTGCAATCAGACCTGTCCATCAAATACTACCCTCCTCCCCAAACATCCACAGCCACTTAGCAACAAGAGCTAAGTTAACTTGGTGAGCTTTCTAATCCCTAAGCCCTCCCCAGTTTCTTTGGGCTTGCAAGGCAGAAAAAAGTGCAAGGGCCATTTTGCACCTGAGATGCAAGGCATAAGGCGAGGTGCACACCTATTTGATGCTAGGCACAAAAATGCAAAAAAAAAAGCTAAAAAATCAAAAAATGCAAAATATTAAACACAATATTAATAAAAATATAAACTTAAATCTTAAAATAAATGTTTCAAAAAACCTATTATCTCAAATTAAAGTAAGTAAATATAACATGTACAACATATTTAAAATGAAATTTTGAAAGTAAAATAAGCATAACATATAAACATACTCAAGCATGTAAACTCATAATCTCTTTATTTTTTTCCCACTTGCATTACTTCAAAATTCAAATAGCTAATGTAATGTTAAACATTATGCATTTGTAATTCTACGAACTGCCTTTGTACCAAGCCCCTCAAGGAAATCCCAAATAAGTCTTTATCAGGATCTTAAATTCTTAATCCCCATAAAAAAAAAAAGAAAAAAAAGTTTTTTAAGTGTCTTTTAAAAATGTCTTTTATTAGGATGAGTAAAAGGCATAAGCAAATATGGAGTTTTCGGTGAAAAAATGCACAAATTTTCAAAAGGCACGTGCCTGGGCTGAAGCACAAGGCGCACGCCTTTTGGAAGTGTTGCACTTGGGGCCTAGGTGAGACACATACCCTAAAATGTGCCTTGCCTATGCGCTTAGGCGTGCCTTTTAAAACACCATCCCAACCAACCACATGAATTTTATTCTCCTCTTGCCAACCTTTCCACAAAAAGTCCATTTGAAGCTTCTCAATTCTCCTCATACGACAACTGGAATGGAGAACAGGGACATCACCAACCTGCCAACCTACTTTCTGTTGGTTTTCCGAATCCCAGGCAAAGTAAAAAGCAAGATTGAAAAACTACAACGGGATTTGCTTTGGGAAGGGGTAGTGAAAACAAGTGTCATCTAGTAGGCTAGAAGCAGGTTTGTAAGCCAAAGGAAGTTGGTGGTTTGGGACTAGGACATATTAAAGAAAGGAACTTGGCCCTTCTTGGAAAATGGCTTTGGAGATATCCCTTGGAGATGGAAGTGTTGTGAACAAAAATCATCAAGAGCAAGTACGGGAAACATGCCAACGGTTGGGATAGCAAGGTCCACTTGAACCGGGTCAAAGCATCAAACCCTTGGAAAGGGTAATAGAATCAAATTCTGGTCTGATTTGTGGTGGGGGAGGACACCCTCGCTAACTCCTATCCTAGAATCTTTAACCTGTCCCAATCCAAAGAAGCCACGGTAGCCTCTAGCTCAACCCCTCACCCTCCGGAACAACCTAAAACTTAAACCTCAAAAGGCCTCTAAGGGAAATAGAAATTGCTGATATAGCTAGTTTGCTAAACTCTCTTAATGAGGTCTACATCTCTCCCACTAGTGGGTTACAGCTGGGTGATCCCAGAGAGGGTGGTGGACATTTTGTGGCAATGGCAAGGCAGAGAGCTTGGAAAAAGAGGAAGATTTTACTGGAATACAGTGACCCATGCAGTCTTGTGGAGTATTTGGGAAGAAAGGAACATTAGAACCTTTGAAAATAAAGCTAGAAATATTGAAGATCTAACTTCCTACATCACATATCTCTGCAATCTTTGGGTAATTAACTTTGAAGTGCTCAAGGGGCTCTCCCTAAATGATCTCCAGAGAAACCTACCAGAAATCCTACACTCCTCTCCAACATCTGAGTGGACTATAAGACAGGCTCCAAGAGAAGAAGGAGGAATGACTCTAAACTTTGATGGTAGCGCCCAAGGTTCCACATGTCAAGCAGGAAATGCGGGTGTAATCCGAGGGAAAGGGGGAATATTTGTTGGGCTTACAGTGGTCCGATTGGGAGGGCTGATGCCACAAAGGCTGAGGTTTTGGCTGCACTCACAGGAATTCGCCGCGCCAAGCAGCTAGGATTATCCTCCTTAACAATTAAAGGGGATTCTGCAAATGCTATAGTTTGGTTACAGGATAAGGGAGGGCCCTGGAGATTAGCCCACTTTTTAGCTGAAGCCAGGGACATCCTAGACTCTATGAATGTGAAGTTGGTCTGGATTCCTAGGGAGCAAAATTCTGTTGCTGATTTCCTAGCAAA